CTGATTTCCTCTGGCGTAGCCGATGCCGTCATTGGTGGGGAACTTCAAGCATAGGTGCTTCATGGAGATGATGGCCTCCAAGTCCTCCAGCGCTGGCCGGCCCAAGATCAGGTTGTGGGCGCACTGGAGGTTGACCACCATGAATTCCATGTTAATTTTGGCATGGTGGGGGCCGTCACCGACTTCCACGGGGAGGACTATCGTGCCCTCGGCGTCGATAGAGTCCCCGGTGAAGCCGGATAACGGGGTCTTGATCGGCTTCAGCAGAGCTCTGTCCAGCTCCAGCTGCTTGAAGGTGTCTAGGTACATCACGTTGACGGAGCTCCCCGTATCGATGTAAGTACGGTGGATGATGGAGTCACCGATCTCACATCGGATGACGAGGGCGTCCCTGTGTGACTCCGTACCCGGAGGCAGATCCTTGTCGGTGAAGGTGATCGCCTCCGTTCGCTGCTTCTTCGGTTGGGGGGGAACGTGGGACACCTCTCCAATGTAAAGGGATTGGGCCCATTTCTTCCTCTGAGTGGCGGAGTCCCCCCCAGTGTTCCCACCTACGATGAGGTGGATGTGATTCTTCTTCGGCGTTGGCTCTTCGAAATCCTCGTCGTCACTGAGTCTGCCAATCTCCCGCTTCTTCGCAGAGGGTTCGCCCCCACGTTTGCCGGTGTTTACCCAAGTGTTCTTGCGTGGGCCACCTTTGACAAACTGGGAGAGTTCCCCTTGGCGAATAAGGCGCTCGATGGCCTTCTTCAATGTGATGCAATCGTCGGTGTTGTGCGACGAGTTCTTGTGGAATCGGCAGTACGTTCCGCCCTGCTGGATTGCCAGGATCTCCTCGGCCGGCCGAGGAGCCTGCTCGATGAGGCCGTGCTTCTCGGCATAATCGAGGATGGTGCCGACCGGGTGGGTGAGGGCTACCCCCGGCCGTTCCAGCTTCGGCCGCCAGTGGCGGTCTTTCTTACTCTGTCCACCAGATCCGTGGCGGCCCTGGGCACCCTGGCCGGCCGGGGACGGACCCGAGGCCGGCGAAGGATTTGTCTTCTTGGGGGGATGGCCCCCCTCTCTCTTTTGATTGTGGAGCTCGTCGGCGTCGGCATACAAACCTCCGCGTTGGAGCGCCTTGGCGTACGACCTCGGGGGGTCAGTGATGAGGCTCCTGGCGTACGGGGAGCTGCGGAGGGCTCCCTGGTACAAGGCGAGGAGGGTGCGCTCATCGGCCCCCTCGACCTCCTCGGTCTCCCTCGTCCACCGATCGATGAATGACCGGAGGGACTCTTCGTGCTGCTGCTTGACGGAGAGGAGGTGGGTGAAATACTTCTTCGCGCGCTTCCTCCCAGCAAAGTGAGTGAGGAAGCGCTGGGCGAGATCCTGCCATGAGTCGATGCTTCCTTCTGGGAGCCCGTTGAACCACTCGTACGTTGGCCCCTCGAGAGTAGAGAGGAACCAACGGCAGAGGTATTCGTCGGACGCGTTCACCATCAGCATGTTGTTCTGGTAACGGCTGAAGTGCTCCTGGGGGTCTGATCGGCCATCATAGGACTTGATGGCGTTCCCCCTGTACTTCTCAGGGATGGGGGCCGAGAGGATCCTGTTGGTGAAAGGGGTCCTAGTCCTGACCTGGATGATGGGGTCACCCCGCCCTTCGGCCAGCTCCCTCTCCAGGGCGCTGAATTTGTTCATGAGCGCGTTGAGGCCGGGGTCGTTGGAGGCGCCGACCGTAGGGATGTTGGCCGACTGCTTGGCCTCCATCTGAGCCAACCTCCTTTCCAACTGGGCGATGACCTCGTCCCGGGGGTCTCTGTCGGCCGCGGCGGCACCCGGCTGGTTCCTCAGGCGCTCGTTGTGAGCCGCGTTGATCTGGTGACGCACGTCATCCTCGTGCAACTTTCCCTTGCCCTTGTCCGGGCGGGGCTGGTCCGCTGTCTGGGACACAGACCCCAAGCTCTCCCTTGGCGAGCCAGGACGTGGATCACCAATCCGTCCCGCCATCCTCTCCGAAACCGGACGACGGCGCGTGTCACCCAGCCTATTGAAGGCAGAGGCTTTTCCACGCGCTGGGGTCTGCCCGGGCCGAAGAGGGGAAGTAGGGTGGGAGTGGGACGATGCCGTGTCCTGGGCCACAACCCCCTCATTGTTGCCTATCTGGACGGCCAACGGTTGGGGATGAGGAGGTGGAGTGACGTTTCCCCCGATCCTTGGCAAGAGTGCGCTGAGGACGGTGGGATTCTTAGCCAAGCTGGCGATGATAGCCGATAGTGCGGCCTGGACCTGAGGATCTACGGACGGAGAGGCCGCGGCCATAGGTTGGGCCGGGGCGTGGTCCGCTTTCTCAACTCGTTTCTTTTCCAGGCCGAGGCGGGCGTCGGGGACTCCGCCGTTGAGTTGGTTGCGGAGGTCCGTCGTGAGGTTGAAGGCCTCCTGGAAGAGGTCCCCTCCGCCGACCTGGTCGGCCGTGGCGTCCTCATCATGCTCCCTGGGCTCTTGGTCCTCAGGGATGACTTTGCTGACGAGGTTGCGGTTTGACTTAGTTCTTCCCATGGTCAGTGGTTAGTTGTGCTTGGTAGCGACGAAGGGTGCTAACTTGATTGTTCTAGCTCTCAACGAGAGCACCAAATGATAGAGTATATCTAGAGAGAAGTGAGAGCTAGAGAGAGAAGTGCAATAATATGCTTCAATAGAATGATTTCGTAACCCCTATAACTACTCCCAAGGGGAGTATTTATAGAGAAAATTAGGGTTGGGCTCCCAAGCCTTGGGCTTGGGAGGCCCATTTACAACTGGACCGCTACTGGGCCGAATACAAAGCCTCTAATGGGCTGTACAAATGAGTAAGTATAGGATCCGATTCTGGGAGGTCTTCGTGGCCGACGAGGGCGTGGCCGACGAGGGCACGGCCGACGAGGGCACCCGGGTTCCTTGGACTCGGGACCGTAATCCAAGTTGGCTTCTTCTCGGCCGACGGGGGCGTCTTGGCCGACGAGGGCGCCACTCTGTTGTCTTCTGGCCGACGAGGGCGCCACTCTGTTGTCTTGTACTTTCTGTTCTTCCGAGTATGTGGGTCCTGGGGCTCAGGCCCATATACTCCATCAGTGTTTAATAATATTATGTAGTTTAAAAGTTCTACAATTATTACTACTAATGGAATAATAAGAACAGATAATATTAAACTTCTTTTTGTAATAATAATAATAATAATAATAATAATAATATAATAATAATGATAATAATAATATAATAATAATAATAATAATAATAATAAACTCTAACCTTTGAAGGAAGCCTTGTTTGTTTTGTTGGTATGAAAGTGTGGGAGGAGGAGGAGATGTTGGTGGTGTGAAAGTGTGGAGGAGGAGTATTTATGCTGAAAATATTATCAATCTAGAATCCGACGGACCAATGAAATTGTGGGGAAATCCTATCTTCGAAAATGGCTGACATTTTCTGCATTCGGAGTTGTCAGCTCCGAAAATGGCTGACATTTTCTGACGGAACGCTTTCGGAGTTGTCAGATCCGAAAAGCGTTAAAGATTTCGTCAGATCCTCGCAGGCACTTCAAATTCGGAGTTCAGTACTCCGTTTTACTCTTTTTCGTCAAAAAAAATACATCAACGCGATTCGGAAACACCTGACCAAATTCTACTCTGTTCCGTCATTTACTCAAGAAACCTGAAGCTATAAAACAAACAAAATTAATCATAAATTTTCAGCTACATTCATGATTTGCCAAAAAAAGCTACATTTATGATTTCGTGGAAGTGTACTCATAATTTCACCTGTTTGGAGTATTCCACATTATTGTGTATAGTAGTTTTTTACTTATTCTTGTTTAACATATGTGTATTTTTATATCAAATCTTTCGTAAGTCAATCAGTTTTCAATTTGTTGACAAAATATGAAGGAAAAATTCGCAGGAATAATCCCAACTATTAAGGGTATTCCAATATTAATCCTAATCCTAAATATGCATAATTCTAAAATAATCTGAACTATAATAAGCTTCTCCTCAGAATGAACCGGTGACCTGCCTAAACCTATTCAACAGGTAACTCGGACACGTAGCCAATATTTATTGGTTTTCTTCTTTTTTCCCATTTTTGTTTTCTTTGCTTTTTTCCTTTTTGTTTCAATTTTTCTTTCGTCTTCCTTTTCTTTCCTTTACGCTAAACCAGGCGAACCAGAGAACCAGGTGAGTAGGGACGTTGGAGGTCGCGTGACCTTTCCTTGTTCCAGCGTCGCCACCCAAGTCAGATAAGCACCGGTCGTTTGTCTGTCCTTGCATCTTATGAGTTCTTCATCACCATCTATGATCTATCTGTCCATTTTAGTTGTTTCAACATCAGCCCTTCGTCGTTCCCAGCTGTTCATCGTCACCGGGTGCCTGGTCATATCAACTGCCTTAGTCTCCATATTTGGGCTTCTGTCATTCAGTTTTGGTCATGAAACCTGATGAATTAGTGTCAAATTAGATTTTGGATTGACCAAATCAAATCTTTCAAATGTGAAATTGAAAGAGTCACATAAAAATTTGAGGAGCAAATTAAAAAATGAAGTCGAAGGTGAGGTGAAATCCATGTGGATGATGTGGGTGCAGAGAGAAAAGAAAGAAAAATTAAAGGACACGTTAGGGAAGAAGGAAGCAACAACCTCGAAAAATGGTGAAGATGAATAGCATGGGGCCAATTTATTTTTTCTTTTAATTTTTTTACCAGTTGTCTAAGGTTGTCTATAAATTTCAGATTATTTTACAATTATGCATATTTGGGATTAATATTGGAAGACCGCTAATAGTTGGGATTATACATGTGAATTTTTTCAAAAATGAAAGATAACTACACCTATGTTGTCTGGACCCCCTATTTTTTATGGATTTAAAACTGGATAATGTGCGATATTGTTTGTCCATATTTGTTTTGGGCCTTGTTCCGGTTTGAATTTTTAGAATAGGAAACATTTCAGTTAATTTCTGTTGTACAAAAAACCAAATCCAAACCAAGAATAGCTTCAAACCACATGTTACTAAACACAAATAAAATAGCTCTTCAAAGATATAATAATAGTTTATGTGCTTCATATTCCAAAACAAATACATAGTATAGTTTATGTGCTTCATTTCTGTGTGTAAAGCACAGAAACTCTCGGAAAAGAGAATGTTCCATTTATGAACTCCAGAAATTCTCCAAACACTTGCATTTCTATTAGAGGATGACGTTTGCGGTTTAACATTTCTCCATGTTTCCTGGCACAACATTTACAGTATTTCAAAACAAAGCAATCTACAGTTCTCTGCTCATACACCTGAAATAGGATTATAAAACCAATAGCTTCTGCAGCAGATATGTGAATATGCTACATTTTCATTAGTATAGTAAATGCTCCCTCCTGACTCCGTCCTTGAATCAAGGTTTCTCTTTCTTTTTAAGCAAAGAATTGCATGTTTCAAATTGTTTTTCTCCCTGCATAAATTTTAAGCACACTATTTCACTATTCTTAATAAGCATGTCAAGTCAAAGAGGACGAGTCTTTTTCAAGGACAGAAGTAAAACATAAACACGTAAATGCACAAAAGAATGTAACCTGCAATCAACTGATTGAAATTTAGGGAATGAATCCCAACACAAAACCCCTTTTTGGCCCTTGTAGAAGAAGACTCTGTAGTTCTTACCAGAATTCATGATAGCAAGAGCTCCTATAGTTCAATAAATACCCTGAAATGGCGCCAAAAGTAGAAACGTTTTATTCAAGGGTGAAACACGTTTTTTGCCGTGTCTAAGTTTCTTGCCTCAAATTTATAATCTGCTTCAACCCTTTTTTTAGTTTGACCGGAATGTTTCTGGCCTACTATGATCTACAATTAAAAAAATATAAGTACAAGCAATAATAACATAAATTAAAGGTCAACAGAATGTCACATAAGTGTGTGTTTGGATGGTCCCAAAATCAGCGGCGGACACAAAGGGGGGCAAATGGGGGCCGCCCCCTCCCCCAATTTTTTTCTACTTGGTATATTTACTCCAAACTTTTAATATATATGTATTTGTATGTGTTTCTTTTACACTACCACCCCTCCAACCGGGAATTCCTGCATCCGCTGCTGCCCAAAATCATGTTTGAAAAAGTTTAACTGTTTAAGCAAGGAAAAAGAAAGATCCTCGAGATTAAGTTGTTTTGGTTACGCTCAATACCAAAAAGTACCCATTTTACCAAATTGTGGTACACTGACTTATAGGTAGTACCGGAGTAGATAAAGACTAAAGACATAAGAAATAAATACCTCTCAAACCGATTTGAATCAAGGGGATAACACTTCAGTAATGCACCCTTGGGAGAGACAAGAGGTGTTTGCTTGCTCAACAAGCACTTGTTTCCTTCCTCATCTTTGAAGATTTGGAGACCACAGTCTCTAAAGAAAGACTCAATATCCCATTCCTAGCCATTGCATGATAAACAGTTTATGGTAGAAAGAGTACTAGATAATCAGAGAGCAACACAAATTTATTAGATAAGGAGACAAGGAGTATGATAGTAAAAAGAGAAACTTTACTTTCATGATCAAGAGTTTAGATAGGTCAGCTAGGGTAATAGGTTGCAGCTTGTATCCTCCATGGTTCAGTGAGGAAAGAGCTAATTCTCGAACCTTTATTACGGTCCAACAAAATATGAACAACTAAAATGTTAATTCATACCAATTTAAAGAAAAACAATTCAATAAACAATTGGAAAATAATATTGAGATCCTAAAATTCTAAAAAGGTGGAATAGGTTATAGGATTCCTAAAACCAACATCCATCAAGAAGAGCATCCACAACAATGGTGTCAAGCTCTTAATTCTTAATGGGTCCTAGCTTGCTACATTAATAATGAACGAACTTATAATTTCTTCGACAACAATCATTCATAGTTCAGAGTGGTCCCATTTTAATTGTTTTAAAAAAGCTTCCTAAAAATATGCTATGTATGCATATATATGTGCATATATATAACTCAATAACTAAATCAATAAATGTAAGGAAAATTACCCTAAATAGGACTAAAAACGTTTGTATGTTCCAAAACAGGACTATCATGTTTTTATTCCCAAAATAGGAGTAATTACTACCATGTTTTGGAAGTACCAGACTTTAAATTAAACATGCTAGTATTTTCCAAGCTTGACAGTAAATACTTCATTCATTCAGGGAATAAAAACATGACAGTCCTGTTTTGGAATTCTCAAACATTTTACTCCTATTTCGAGAATTTTCTCGACATGTAATCAATAGAGTTATTTTAATATATTATATTCCAAATTCTAACCAAATAAATAAATAAATACTCCCTCCGTCCCACTATAATTGTCTCATTTTTCCTTTTTCGTCCGTCTCACTAAATTCGTCTCATACCATATTTGATAATATTTGTGCGGTTCTAATTCATTCTTACTTCATTCCACTTTATCAATTCATTATCAACCACATAACTCTACTTTTCTTAAAAAACACACCACGTTCCTTTGTGCCAATAATATGGGGACGGAGGTAGTAATTTTTTGTACCATTACATTTTAATTTTTTTACTTGAATACGCTGGAAGTTATCACAGCTATATATGTAATATATATTGAACTAGAGCCTATTTTTAAAATAAAAAAGGCTGCAGCCAATTTTATCCATGCAAAGCATTTAAAATACTAAAAATAGGGAGACTGTCAGCATTTAGCATGCAGGTCAATTTAAAATTTAAAAGCCGACCATTTACTTTTATTGCATACTAATCACATTGTGCCATGGCTCATGTGCAGAAACTTTCATTTTCTTTTTCTATTTTTCCTGTGTACGAACTGGTGTTAAGTTTTAGAACATGTGTCAAGATTAGGAACACGAACAATGGCAAATTTCTAGTTCATGTTCTAAAGATTAAACTTGATACGACCATTGTGGATGCTCAATTCAAGATAGCCCTTCTGTAGCGACTAAACTGAATTATCTAAGAACTGGAGATCACCAACACAATCCCAACTATGTTGATTAGTGGTCAAAAATCAATTAATATAATTCCTGTAAAAACTCTTGAACCCTTAATATGGTCCAACAAAAAGAAGCAAAAAAGTTGTTAATCCATACTAAATTGAATAAAAATAAAAGTTGGAAAATAATAATAAGATAGAAACTTCTAAAAAGGTGGAAATTTAAAGGAAGACTCCTAAAACTGACATCCATCAAGAATTCAAGAGAACCACTGTATAGACTGAACTGAGCTATCTCAGAACGTCCATCACCATAATCTCAGGTCTCAACTATGTTGATTAGTGGTCTAAAATCAGTTAATAAAAATTCAAGTAAAAATGCATAGTGAAAAAGTTTTACATTGGACCCACCCTTCTTGTGCAACCTTCTTATGAGACAGTAGTGGGATAAAATTCCAAAAGTCATAGCCATATGTTTTTCACATGTACCGAATGTATCACACGACAACAATGAATTGACATATTTGTGATGTATATACGTCGTGACAAATATGTTGAATCTACATTGACTAGTACATAGCTGTGATTTTGTGAGTGCATGTGTGTTTGTTTGAGAGGGACATAATTTGGAATAACCTGACTTATGTAGGGTTCAATAATACAATACTGCAAGTATGATGCTTCAGACTCTGTTGTATGGATAAACCTTTTGTAGTTTCCCAAATGGTAGTACCTGTCGAAAGAAACAATTAGTATTATAAATAGAACTGTACTCCCGTAAACATTTTAATCAATCAACAGCTTCTTAATCCACCCTTTTGGATAACAACAGGGGCAATAGAGTCTCATTCCTGACCTCAAAATTCTCCTGGCAAAACACATCACAGTTGACTTTACAGTTTCAAGAGGAACTTGGCGAAACCACAAACACAAAGATCCCTGAAGATCAGAGAGAGTTTAATTTTGGTGAATACAGGAATACAGCAAAAAAGATAACTTTAAAAGAAATTTGGGATCTTTTACCTGGCTTTCAGAACTAAGGTGGAGAAGAACATAATAGGCACGGAATTCAGATTCATTTTTGTGCATAGGTTTGGATGTTCTATTTGCCTCATAAAGATCAAATAGAGTTGTTAAGGCCTTCTTGAGCTGCTCCATGTTGAGGTGTAATGCTGAAGAGATAGAAGGACCACTACATTGCCTAAGCTCATGAAGAGACATGATATGAAATTTTACCTGAGTGGAAAGGAGTTTTCAGTAAATGTTCGGAAATTTTCGCTGAGAAATTGAGAATTCCATGGGTGCATTAGGTTTAACTGTCCTTACTATGCAATAACAAAGAGATTAGTTTTTACTCCTCATCACCCAATTTCTAACTATGTCGAGGTAGGTGCATAAAATTTATGGTTGTTGAATAAGAATATAACTTTGAATTAAAAGGCCATATGTTCAAGAGGCTTGTACAATGTTAATGTAGAGAAAATATGGAGCTAGACTTGGTAAGAATAGGAAACCTGATTGGAATAGAAAACCATAATACTACTAAACAATCATAACTATATTAGTACTTAAGCATATACTATCCTCCGTTCCATAAAAGTTGCAACAGTTTGACTTTCACGCTTGCCAACGCACAACTTTGACTGTGATTATATTTATTTACGTATTAGTAAACATTAAAAAAACTTAATATATTGGAAATTTACATTAATACAAATTTATTAATATTTTATACATAATATTTTTATTATATATATTAATAGAAAATTGTAGTCAAAGTAGGGTGTGTGAATAGTGCAAAAATTGCAATGTTGCAACTTTTATGGAACGGAGGAAGTATGAAACTATAACACTGCTAAAACTATGATAACTAATTAACTATATTACGACTTAAATAATAGTCAACCAATTTCCTAAGAAAATATAAAATTAATAAAGAGAAAATAAGAGACAAGTAGTTTGGGATGCTAATAGAAGTTAGACTCTGAAGGAGGAAAAGCAATTTATATTATGGTATGGATGAGTAAAAATTGACTAGTGACCTCACAATGGTTGAATACTTGAATGCATTAATGATTAGAGGTAATGTTCAAGATGATAAGATGAAGAATGATCTTGATTAGTTGTTTAGTGAATGCCAGGTTGGTGACTTGAGGAATATTTCTATGAAAGAAGAAGTTAATTAGGATTACATGGGAATAATTCAAAGAATCGAAGTTAAAAATGCTTTGAAATTAATGAAGCCACATAAATAAATTGGCCCTAATGAAGTCTCTATTAGGTTTGACAATGTTCAAAGGTAGATTTCAATATTTGATATTCGTTGACTCATAGACCATTTTGGAAAAAACTAGAATATAATTAGATTGTCAAATGATTGGAGGAAAAACACATTGATACCAGTCTATACGAGAAAATGGCACGTGCAAGATTTTTCGAAGTACAAGGAAGAACTTAGGGGTCATACACTCATACCATAAGCTTATAGAAGAGAGAGATTGAGACATAGAGTAGAGCAAGTATATTCAAATATCAATGAACTAGTTTGAATCTATGTGCAAGTGCTGAATAACAAAAGTGGCCCATCTTTAAAGACATCTTATCATCTCAAGGAAAATCATCAGATTAGGAATAAAGATTTACACAATTTTATAGACTTCAAGAAAGCTTATGATAAAGCACCATGAGAAGTATTTTAAATGGTTACGACTTACAACAAAAAGCGACGTACTAGCAAAGTCGTCGTCATTATCATCATTACCCCAGTGCCGCAAAGGCTAACACCTACAGTGGGGTAAGGGGGGTCGAATGTACGCAGTCTTACCCATGTACTAAAGCACAAAGAGACTGTTTCCGGATGACCCAAAGACTCACTATTTTTTGTCTTGAGAATATGATGGAATAAAGCAAAATGGCTCACTAAATTGTTTGCACTTCTTTGTTATGAAAAGTACATGCAATTTTAGGCACGATTTTCAGCAAAGTACATCTATATAATCAAATATATCTCAAGGAGCTACAAGCCTACATCAAATTTTAGAACTTATATAGAGGCGATCAGAGGTTTTCCGTGAATAATGGGTTACTTCAATGAACATCACTCAGATTATTCACATTTACGATTGTTATGAATGATTTAATTAGAAAAAATCCAAGAAATAGTACTGCATGCTTCTTGCTGCGGATAATATTGTGCCGATAAAAGATTCTAAGGAAGGACTAAGTGCTATGTTGACGAACTGATTCCCAAGAATTGCATCAAAATTTACAGAAATATTTAGTAAGTTATAGTGTTATACGACATTGAATAAAGATGGATTGCATTCACCATTAACAAATGAATTAGGGGGTGAATGGGTTATATTGTAAAAAATCTAATTAGAGATTACCTACCCTAATAGGTCATTTATTATTTACCACTTAACCTACTGCTCTATGATTATAATGCAGGAGATATATTACATTACAGAGCAAGAGAGATGACCATACCATTCTCTCATACATAGATATCACTCTTTCACCGCTGCAATTTTGCATGCTAAGGTCCTGCCTTATGGATCTTGTTCTATCGAACAGGAAGTCATGCAGCACCTCGAAAGGATGCTTCGTAGATTGCAATTTAAATAGATAATCTAGAGTTTCCTCCAATACTGGTAAGGGACGCAAATCAGAACTTTTTGCATACTTTGTAGATATAGTCCTGCAGAACTACAATAAAATACATAAAATCAATGTGCAAGAAAAGCCTGACCCCAATACTCAACTTTGGCAACTAGAATCAGAATCTAATACTTAGAAGAGACCAACAATCAATTTTTTATAGACCTTGCACTACCATCATTATTATAAACATAAGAAACAAAAATGTGTTTAATATTTCACTAAGTAGACCGAGAGAAAATACAACTACTGAGGCTATGTTTGGCATGTCACTTCAGCGCAAAATGAGCTGAAATTTCTTAAATCCAGCTAATTTATTTAAAAGTAATACTGTTTGGATGAAAAGCTTAAGTGAGCTTGAGCTAGAAAATGTTGGCTGAACTAAAACATTAGTAAAGATAGCGTTTTCACTCGCTGATCATATAATACACCATCTGTACTAAATTATCCTTCCGCACATATATTTTCTCTTACCGGCAATTTCTCACAACCCACATGCCATCACCTCTACTTCGTCACTCAAAATTATCTTCTAGCATTTTGTTCATTAGTATGGTTTAAAATATAAAATCTGGCCATACAAATAAGGTAGTTTTTTTACTAGTTCTGATTGTCTAACGACAATCAATCTAATTTTTCACCTATATACTTATCTAACCGCTCAAACTAATATGTACTACATCATAAAATATGAAATTAAACTTGAAAAAATAATATTTTTATTATTTAATGATCGAAACTAATTTTTATAACACATATATACAAGCCCAAAAATATAATATATATATGCAAGAACATACATATATAAATATATATACTGAAATTTTAATATTGATTGAAATATAAAACATTATAATAAATATTTTGTTCTATTAATAAATTATATGTCCTTTAATGTAATTTCATATTATCCGGGCATTCTTTCAGCTCTTTTTGCCAAACGGATCTACTATATTCAGTTGGCAATTCAGATTCGGCACTTCAAAGTTCAACTTCAGACAATAACATCTACTTTAGACAATAGCTCTTAATTGAGACAACAGCCTTCAGCTTCAGTTTGTTGTGCCAAACATAGCCTGAGCGCACATCAATATATTGAGTTCCATTTTAGTAAAAAAACACGCATTCAAATCCAGGCTATGTGATGATGCCTATTCACTTTGCAATATCAATTTTGCAACGGAATATGATTATTCAGCAACACTCTAAGCTAATCCCCAATCACCATCTAACTATTTTCCATACAACAACAATATCCCAGCCTTAATCCCAAAAGAGTTTGAAGTCGGCTAACATGAATAGATTAGTGACATCAGAGTTAAAAATAATAAATAGAAATAATAAATAATACTCCGTAATAAATAGAGAGAAAGGGAGACAAACTAATAAATCCTCCACATGTGTACTCTCCCTCCACTTTGATGATGAATGAAGTTGATGGTTTTGGAATTTGGATGCAATCTCATTACTCTTTTCAGGAGAAAGCAATATGCAAGAAAACTTTAGGGGTAAGACGTTACCACTGCACTACCTTACAGAAACCAGTTGATACTAGAGTCTATAGCTCTATATGTTTCATACACGCATAATTAGAAAATTGGGATTAAGGTGATCATGAAGACCACAAACTAATCAATTACAAGATTATATTATAACTATAAACTATCGCTTCAAGAATAAAGATCTTACCTTTTTAACAGCAAGACTAGGAGATGATTTGCTTGGATCGCCATTCAGCCTCTCGAATACAGCTAAATCCCGCAGCCTCTCTCGATTTTCCCTCTCTTCAACTGCAAATCTATGCTTCTTAGAGAACAAATGGAGAACACACGGATAATGGACCCAGATACAGGAAATGCAATAATCGGGTACCAGGGCACTTCAACGGACAGGTTCCAACTAAGAAAGGAAGATTAAGAACGCCTTCTTCGTCAAGATTGGCATCTATGTCGCCTTTACGCCAGATGCTTGAACTGGGGTTGTTGTTCTTGAGTTGGTTATGTGGATATTCATGAATTGGGATGTGGGAGGTTGAAGGCTTGACATTCTTGTGTGAATTGGACTGGAGATTGACAGGCAGAAGAGCCGGGGAAGATGAAGCAGCTCTTCGGGTTGTGAATATGGGTTGAGCCCGACCCGCCATCGAAGGGCTGGTTGTTTTGGAGGGAACACCTGGCTGTATATTGTCTACGGATAGAAGTATGGAAGCATTACGTTACGTATGGGTCCCACTTTGTTTATTGAATCTAGATCCGGACCCGTTAGTATTTTAAATAAATGTATCGGGTATGGTACATATGATTACGACCCGTTAAAAACTCAGACTCTTTTAAAATTTCTTATTTGTATACACAGACATTAATACATAAAGTGATTAGTTATAACACTTTAAATAAAATAGAAACTAGTATACATATATAAATAATAATACATAAAGTTATTAGTTGTGATTCTTCAATAAAAATATACATATTAATACATAACTACTACTCCGTATATAAGTGATAATGATCGAGATAGTAAGATACCCTAAAATTAATGCCCATTTAGGCCGTAACTACATATTGATAACGTGTGTATTGGGCTCGGTAGAAAAAGTATAATAATATATATTACATTATTATTAATATTATTATATCATTATCATATATAATACTACATATGATTTTATACCATTAGTAATCCAAGAGACCTTTTTATGACTTAATTTCTAGTTTATTCTAAAAGCTTTTTGTGCGAGAGAAAGCGACGCAGAGTGTGGAACTATATGCTTGTTCAAGAACCGATATTCTATTAGATAAAAGTACTAATTTTCTATGAGAGACCTTGATTTTTTTTTGAAAAGTGAAGATATATTTTACTTTTAAATTTGTACACTTTGTTTTATATTTCACATACATGTCTTGTTATTTTCACAAAGTTTATAATGGTGTGTGTATCATACTTGGCGGGCGGGTCTATCCAACCCGATTTCGAGACCCATTGGGTCTGGGTCCTGGTCCAAATTTTCAGACCCGCCGGGTAAACGGGTCGGGTCCGAGTCCATTATTAACTTAGCGGGTGCGGGTACGAAACACTACGTTCCGAACCGGACCCGACCCATTGACAGACCTAATTGAGTCACTTGACTAACCTTCCCACCATCTTGTCAGGTCGGGATGGTGGCTGGGGTGGGAGATTCTGGCCCTGTTTGGCACTCAGCGGTTAGCGGTTAGCAGATTTGGTTAGCGGGTAGTAAATGGCGGATTGAATCAGCGGATTTGACCAGCGGATTAGGTTGGCGGGTTGCAGAAAGATGTTTGGTAACTTAGCGGTTTGCTTGTAGCGGATAATTAGTAAAAAGACGAAAAAGGGCATTTTAAAAATTTTGCAAGTTTTTTGTTTTGTTTAATACGAATTTATGACTATACTAATTTATACACACATAATATATGCGCATAAACTTGATGGAGTATATGGGTCTGAGCCCCAGGACCCACATACTCGGAAGAACATAGCACAAGACAACAGAGTGGCGCCCTCGTCGGCCATGACGCCCCCGTCGGCCGAAAAGGTGCCAACTCAGATTACGGTCCTGAGCCTGAGGGACTCGGGTGGCCTCGTCGGCCGTGCCCTCGTCGGCCGTGCCCTCGTCGGCCACGCCCTCGTCGGTCACGAAGACCTCCCAGAATCGGATCCTATACTTACTCATTTGTACAGCCCATTAGAGGCCTTGTATTCGGCCCAGTAGCGGTCCAGTTGTAAATGGGCCTCCCAAGCCCAAGGCTTGGGAGCCCAACCCTAATTTTCTCTATAAATACTCCCCTTGGGAGTAGTTATAGGGGTTACAAAATCATTCTATTGAAGCATATTATTGCACTTCTCTCTCTAGCTCTCACTTCTCTCTAGAATTCAGGAGATATACTCTATCATTTGGTGCTCTCGTTGAGAGCTAGAACAATCAAGTTAGCACCCTTCGTCGCTACCAAGCACAACTAACCACTGATCATGGGGAGAACTAAGTCAAACCGCAACCTCGTCAGCAAAGTCATCCCTGAGGACCAAGAGCCCAGGGAGCACGATGAGGAAGCCACGGCCGACCAGGTCGGCGGAGGGGACCTCTTCCAGGAGGCCTTCAACCTCACGACGGACCTCCGCAACCAACTCAACGGCGGGGTCCCCGACGCCCGCCTCGGCCTGGAAAAGAAACGAGCCGAGAAAGCGGACCACGCCCCGGCCCAGCCTATGGCCGCGGCCTCTCCGTCCGTAGATCCTCAGGTCCAGGCCGCACTGTCGGCTATCATCGCCAGCTTGGCTCAGAATCCCACCGTCCTCAGCGCACCCTTGCCAAGGACCGGAGGGAACGTCACTCAACCTCCTCAGCACCAACCGTTGGCCATCCAGATAGGCAACGACGAGGGGGTGGTGCCCCAAGACACGGCGTCGTCCCACTCCCACCCTGCTTCCCCTCTTCGGCCCGGGCAGACCCCAGCGCGTGGTAAAGCCTCTGCCTTCCATAGGCTAGGTGACACGCGCCGTCGTCCGGTTTCGGAGAGGATGGCGGGACGGATTGGTGATCCTCGTCCTGGCTCGCCGAGGGAAAGCTTGGGGTCTGTGTCCCGGACAGCGGACCAGCCCCGCCCGGACAAGGGCAAGGGAAAGTTGCACGAGGACGACGTGCGTCACCAGATCAACGCGGCTCACAACGAGCGCATGAAGAACCAGCCGGGCGGCGCTACGGCCGCCAGGGACCCCCGGGACGAGGTCATCGCCCAGCTAGAGAGGAGGCTAGCTCAGATGGAGGCCAAGCAGTCGGCCAACATCCCAACGGCCGGCGCCTCCAACGATCCCGGCCTCAACGCGCTCATGAACAAGGTTAGCGCCCTGGAGAGGGAGTTGGCCGAAGGGAGGGGTGACCCCGTCATCCAGGTCAGGACTAGGACCCCTTTCACCAACAGGGTCCTCTCGGCCCCCATCCCTGAGAAATACAGGGGGAACGCCATCAAGTCCTACGATGGGCCGATCAGACCCCCAGGAGCACTTCAGCCGCTATCAAAACAACATGCTAATGGTGAATGCGTCAGACGAATACCTCTGCCGTTGGTTCCTCTCTACTCTCGAGGGGCCAGCGTACGAGTGGTTCAACGGACTGCCAGAGGGAAGCATTGACTCGTGGCAAGATCTCGCCCAGCGCTTCCTCACTCACTTTGCCGGAAGGAAGCGCGCCAAGAAGTATTTCACCCACCTCCTCTCCGTCAAACAGCAGCACGAGGAATCCTTCCGGTCATTCATCGACCGTTGGACGAGGGAGACAGAGGAGGTCGAGGGGGCCGATGAGCGCACCCTCCTCGCCTTGTACCAGGGAGCCCTCCGCAGCTCCCCGTACGCCAGGAGCCTCATCACTGACCCCCGAGGTCGTACGCCAAGGCGCTCCAACGCGGAGGCTTGTATGCCGACGCCGACGAGCTCCACAATCACAAGAGAGAGGGGGGCCATCCCCCCAAGAAGACAAATCCTTCGCCGGCCTCGGGTCCGTCCCCGGCCGGCCAGGGTGCCCAGGGCCGCCACGGCTCTGGTGGACAAAGTAGGAAAGACCGCCACTGGCGGCCGAGGCTGGAACGGCCGGGGGTAGCCCTCACCCACCCGGTCGGCACCATCCTCGATTATGCCGAGAAGCATGGCCTCATCGAGCAAGCTCCTCGGCCGGCCGAGAAGATCCTGGCCATCCTGCAGGGCGGCACGTACTGCCGGTTCCACAAGAACTCGTCGCACAACACCGACGATTGCATCACATTGAAGAAGGCCATCGAGCGCCTTATTCGCCAGGGGGAACTCTCCCAGTTTGTCAAAGGTGGCCCACGAAAAAACACTTGGGTAAACACCGGCAAACGTGGGGGCGAACCCTCTGCGAAGAAGCGCGAGATTGGTAGGCTCAGCGACGACGAGGACTTCGAGGAGCCTCCGCCGAAGAAGAATCACATCCACCTCATCGTAGGCGGAAACACTGGGGGGGACTCCGCCACTCAGAGAAAGAAATGGGCCCAATCCCTTTATATTGGGGAGGTGTCCCACGTTCCCCCCCAGCCGAAGAAGCAGCGGACGGAGGCGATCACCTTCACCGACAAGGATCTGCCTCCGGGTACGGAATCACACAGGGACGCCCTCGTCATCCGATGTGAGATCGGCGACTCCATCATCCACCGTACTTACATCGATACGGGGAGCTCCGTCAACGTGATGTACCTAGACACCTTCAAGCAGCTGAAGCTGGATAGAGCTCTACTGAAGCCGATCAAGACCCCGTTATCCGGCTTCACCGGGGACTCTATCGACGCCGAGGGCACGATAGTCCTCCCCGTGGAAGTCGGTGACGGCCCCCATCATGCCAAAATTGACATGGAATTCATGGTGGTCAACCTCCAGTGCGCCCACAACCTGATCTTGGGCCGGCCAGCGCTGGAGGACTTGGAGGCCATCATCTCCATGAAGCACCTATGCTTGAAGTTCCCCACCAATGACGGCATCGGCTACGCCAGAGGAAATCAGAGGATAGCCAGAGCTTGCTACCTCAAGCTAACGAGGCCAGCCGAAAGGGAAGGACAGCGGATAGACACCATCACGACCGTCGTCGCCATGGACAAGGAGAGGCCACATGCGGAGCCGGCCGAGGAGGTCGAGGAAATCCCTCTGGATACCTCCCGGCCGGGGCGGGTTCTCAGGGTCGGAAAGCAACTCCCCCAGGACCAACGAGACGCCATCCTCCTCGTCCTACGGTCATACGCCGTTGTCTTCGCGTGGGGCCCGGACGATATGCCCGGCATCAGCCGCCAGGTGATCACTTACCGGCTGACCGTCGATCCGGCCTCCGCGCCCGTCAAACAGAAGCGGCGCTACTTGTCCGCTGACAGGCGGGACTTCGTCAAAGGGGAGGTCGCCATGCTCCTATCGATCAAACATATCAAAGAGGTGAAGTACCCAACATGGTTGGCCAACGTCGTCCTCGCACAGAAACCGCCGACGTTCAGAATGTGTGTTGACTACACTGACCTGAACGAGGCGTGCCCCATGGACCCGTTCCCTCTCCCCAACATTGATCAATTGGTGGACGAGACGGCGGGGTGCGAGTTGATGTCGTTCCTCGACGCTTTCAGAGGATACCACCAGATCTCCATGCACGAAGATGACGCCGAGAAGACGACATTCATGACCCCAGAGGGAAT